ACAGGGAGGAAGATGCTACTGGCATCTTGTGGATAGAGGCAGGGATGCTGCTCAACAGCCTAGAATGCACAGGACAGCCCTGAACAACAAAGGGCTATCCAGCCTCAAATGTCAGTAGTGCCAAGATTGAACACCCATGATCTGTGGCATTTACCATACTCATACCTTTGGTTGGTTGGTTTTATAAGGCTGGTCACCACAGTCCTATCCTTGGGCAGAAATTATTCTCACTGCACCATGGTGTTTGCTTTTACTCAAATACTAAGTTTTCTGGCTCACTGTGTCTCTCTGTGTGTGACAGGCACACCTCCATAGTTGTGCACAAGGATGAGTTCTTCTTCGGCAGTGGTGGTATCTCCAGCTGCCCCCCGGTGAGTGTCTTCCCCTGCACTCTGTCCTGCAGTTTCAGGTTCCTGGGGGCTCCTGTAGACCAGGAGCTTCGCTTCTGCTGTGGACCTCTGGCATTGTTCCTCAAAGCCACCTGAAGACTCGGCTCAAGAAAACCTTTCCCAGACACCCCAGCCAATTGCCTTCCTCTCTTTTCCCATGGCATGTATGGGTCCTTCTGTCTCACACGGAGCATCTTATGGTGAAATGAGCTGTTTCTGGGTCTCCACAGGGAACTGTGTAAGCTCCTTGCAAGCTGATGCCTTCCATTCCCATCCCCAGCACAGTGCCCAGCTCGTCATAGGAATGCAGCTGATGTTCTGATGTTAAGCTGAATGATGAGGGCTCTGAGAAGCATCAAGAGTTGCCCAGACTTACACAGCCAATAAGTGTCACCAGTCCTAGAACCCAGGATTCTGACTCCAAAGCCCATATCCTTTTCCAAAACTTTCTATCAGAGCTATCCAAGTGTTGTCACAGGAGGTGCTCAAGCAATGACCAAGAAGCCGTTTATTTTGTTTTTTAGATTGTTGGCTTGTTTTATTTTTGTGGGGGTTTTTTGCAGTATCCTATAGGATTTTTTTTTTTTTTTTTTTTTTTTTTGAGACAGGTCTTCTCTGTCACCCAGGCCAGAAGTGCAGTGGCACAATCTTGGCTTACTGCAGCCTTGACCTCCCAGGTCCAATGCCTCCCAAGTAGCTAGGACTGTTAGCACCACCATACAACAAATTTTTTCTATTTTTTTAGAAATAGGATCTCCCTATGTTGCCCAGACTGATTTTAAACTCCTGGGCTCAAACAATCCCCTGCATAAGCCAGAATTCTCCCATTGCTTTTGGAATAAAAGCCAGAAAGCTCAGCATGGCCTCTCAGGACCTACCTGATCTAGTCTCTGACTGTCTCTGGCCAGCCTCTTTCAGGTTGTTTCCTCCCAACTCTCTCTCTCTTCTCATTCTTTGAACACACCTTAGACATTTAAACTCTGACATCAGTACGCCTTCCTGATCCTTCACCTGGCTACACCTCTCCCTCCCTCAGATTTGAGTTGTGTCACTTTCTCAGGCAAGTCTACCCAGACCCCTCAGACCAGGAAAGTTACCTGTCATATGTACTGTTGGCATTCTGTACTTCTCCAGCACACCCTTATTGCAGCTCATAATTATATACCGATTTATGGGATTTTTTAATCCCCCTTCCCTACTAAACTAGCCTCTTAAGGACAAGAACCTCATCTATTTTGTCCACACCACAGCCCCAGTGCCTATAACTGAATAAGAGGAGTCAAAGAGTCACCTTTTAGTCTCTTACAACTCTGAGGTAATTGTTCTCTGCCTACCATAGGTATCTTGCTCACCATGCTTTCCACAGTGCCCAGAACAATGTCAGCTATGTAGGAGGTGCTCAGTAACTGTGAATAAATGATCTTTTCAGGGAGCTCTGCTCTGGAGTATTATCCCTTCCCAGATTTGTTCTCCCTGCTGATCCCGTTGCTTCCACAGTGGCTGGTTTCCCCATTCAACCTCAGTCTCTCCTTCAGTCTTCTATGGCAATCTGTTAACTCCATAGCTTAGGGTTTTCTATAGGCCTTTCAGGAGTCATCAACTCCCTTGCCCTATCACCATCATTAGATTAAGCTCACAGATCAAAAAAGAATTGCATTATGGAAATAACTGCCGGCCTGTCAGATTTCTCACCGCCCTTCACATTTTTCCATTGTTACACAGGATGTCAAATATGTCAGAAGAAAAACTGGCTGCATACTTTATGCAAATAGGCATGAAGAGATGGCCTGTGAAGTGTGAGCTATTTCTATTGTCCTGTTCCGTCCTCATGATGAGACATACTGGGTACAAAAGGAGACTTTAGATTCTGGGTTTCTGTGTTTTTCTCAACTGATTCTGGGTTTCTCTGTTTTTCTCAACTGAATAAGTGGACAGCATCAGGAGTCAGGGCTGCAAGAGAATCAGCTTCCCAGGGCTCCATAAGAAACAAGAAGCCTGACTTCCTAACCATGCTGGCAGCACATGGCAATAGAAAGTCTCTAGAAAGTTCTAAGCCAAGCTTGTCCAACCTGTAGCCCGCAGGCCACATGCAGCCCAGGACAGCTTTGAATGTGGCCTGACACAAATTTGTAAAGTTTCTTAAAACATGAGATTTTTTTTTTAAGCTCATCAACTACCATTAGTGTTAGTTTATTTTATGTGTGGCCCAAGATAATTCTTCCAGTGTGGCCCAGGAAAACCAAAAGATTGGACACCCCTGCTTCTAAGCCATTGCATCCTTGATACAAATAGTGAATAGCACACTTCATCTGCCCAGGGTGCCCTGAAAGTTAAAAGTGAAGTCAGGCCAGGTGCAGTGACTCAGGCCTGTAATCCCAACACTTTGGGAGGCCCAGGTGGGTAGATCACTTGAGGTCAGGAGTTTGAGACCAGCTTGACCAACGTGGTAAAACCCTGTTTCTACTAAAATTACAAAATATTAGCTGGGCATGGTGTCAGGCACTGTACTCAGGAGGCTGAGGCAGGAGAGTCACTTGAATCCTGGAGGCAGAGGTTGCAATGAGCCGAGATTGCCTCATTGTACTCTAGCCTGGGTGACAAGAGAGAAACTCCATCTCAAAAAAAAAAAAAAGAGTCAGAACAGAGTGTTTGTGATCTACTGTGGGAAGCCACAGTAAAGATGGTAATTTAATGACTTTCTTTGGGTTGGCTCTTTTAGGGAGGGACATTGCTTGGGCCCCCAGACTCTGTGGTTGATGTGGGGAGTACAGAAGTCACAGAAGAAATCTTTCTGGAGTACCTGTCCTCCCTGGGGGAGTCCCTGTTCCGGTGAGTGGAGACAGGGGTGGTGGTTAGTTGTGTCTGTCTCCCCAACCAGATAATCAACACCTGGAGGCAGCTGCCATGTCATCTCATCCTTATCACTCAGCACAAGGCCTGGCCCAGTTTTTTTGCTTAATTAACATGAAGAAAGGGCAGTTATACTACAAAAAGAGTTCTAAGTTGTTCTGATACAGATATTCCTTCCAGCATACTTTCTGCTAAAATTTTTAGAGGAAACAAGGGCTTTTCATTCCTTCTGATTAAAATCAGCAAGTGCTGTTCGCAACCTTTATTGGACAAGTTTGTAGAAGGAAAAGCAGGGTTTGCAGAAGGGTTGGGATGAAATACAAACATAAGCAGACTTTTCCTGAAAGAGGCTTTCATCAGTTCCAGTATGGGGTAAATACTAACACCAGAGCTCTGCTTTCATGAATGTAAAGATTCTCCTGAACTGTGTAGGAGCCATGTATTTTCAGTTTCTCCTTCCCTTAAAAATCAGTTATTAATGGCCAGAATGGCAAATAAGCAGTGTTTCTGGTGTATCAGAGCGGGGAAATCACAGTCCTTACATTGAGCTATGCTCACTATTCCACAGCCTAGCTTGAGTTATTCCACATAGACGCTTGCTGGCTTCTCATATCTGTTCTGCAAATCTTTCAACATACAGAGGTGAGGCCTACAACCTCTTCGAACACAACTGTAACACCTTCAGCAACGAAGTGGCACAGTTCCTGACTGGGCGGAAGATTCCTTCTTACATCACAGACCTGCCCTCTGAAGTTCTCTCCACGTAAGTGTGGCCTCTGTCCCCACCCCTGCCTTGGCCAACCTCCCCATTAATGGTCAGTGCCCTTTCTCTGGCCATCTGCCCTCCCAACCAGGCGGGCCTGTCCTGATGGCAGCTTCTAACACAGAAGGCTGCTGTTCGCTACACCCACTGTTGTGTACCTGTATTACCTCCACCTTCAGAGCTAGACCAGCTCTGCCTTGGCCTAAGTTCAACCACAGAACTTAGAAACCCACTTGACATTAGCTTTAGTATTTGCATAAAAGTCTGGCATCTGTCCTTCCCATTGTGGTTGAAGCATGCCACTCCCCAGAAGTACCCAACTAAATGCATCATTAGACGGGCAGAGAGGGGTCAGAAAAATGGTAGAGGGGCTTATTTTATAGCTGTTGCTTTGTCTTTCTCCACTGCACCAGGAGCTCTGACTCCCTCACAGACTAAGTTCTACTTGCCCTTGTGCATTACAGCACAGTCAGCCTTCAACAGATGTTTTCTTCAAGAACATTCTGCAGCTCCTTCTGTCCTTATGTGGCCCAAGCCTTGAAAGAGGCTTGTAGGCCATCATCCAGGTGGTATCGGCTAAAAAGACAAAACACCCCCTAAAGCCATCTCACCCCTCTCCCTCCCATTGCCATTGCTTGCGTTCAGGCAGTCTCTGCTCACTCCAGGACCATGTCTGTTTGCTTCTTCTGACTCAGTTTCTTCTGAATTATGACCCTTACTCAACAGAGATCTTGACAGGTTTAGCAGGCCCAGCAAGGTGGACTATTTTTTATACCTGAGGAGGAACCCCAGGAAGAGCTTGCATAGGAAATGAGGCTGCTGTGGCAGACTGGTGAGGAGCCCCAGACTGCCAGCTGTGGCCCTGCCTTCCTATCGCTCAATGGGTATGCAGCCCCACAGCCCTGCTGAGGGATGTAGGTTATGGGGCCCTGAGCAAACTGGAGTAGCCAGAATGTTCTTACTGGTATTATTTGATGGGTGGAGTTCCTGGAATTGTCTGAATTAGGGTTGATATTTGTAGGTGTCATCTGTTTATACTTTGGAATACTTCATTCCTTTGAACTTAGAGATGATTTTCAAAAGTGACAGTATCCACTGAAAAGCCAGTGATTGAAATATGTTGTGGGCAACCTTATTTATGGTTGTTGTAATCATGGAAAATCTCCAAACTCCAGTATTTGCAGTGTTTTTTCCAGCTAAATTACTATGAGAGCAAACTAGGAGCCCTTTAGAAAGACATTAGTGGCTGGGCGTGGTGGCTCACACCTGTAATCCCTGCACTTTGGGAGGCTGAGGTGGGTAGATCATAAGGTCAGGAATTTGAGACCAGCCTGGCCAACATGGTGGAACCCTGTGTCTACTAAAAATACAAAAATTAGCCGGGCGTGGTGACCCCCACTGTAATCCCAGCTACTCGGGACACTGAGGCAGGAAAATTGCTTGAACCCAGGAGGCATAAGTTGCAGTGAGCCAAAATCGTGCCATTGCACTCCAGCTCTGGGTGACAGAGCAAGGTGGCACGTCTTGGGGACAGCAGGAAAGAGGAAGAAAGGCATTAATACTGGGAACCTGGCATTTGTCATTTTTCCTGCATATTCCCTGTACTCCCTGGCAGACCTCTGTTCCTGGAAGAATTTAGTTGTGTGCTGTCCTCACCCCTAACTTTGTCTTCTTTTTTTTTTTTTTTTTTTTTGGAGATGGAGTCTCGCTCTGTCACCCAGGCCGGCCTGATCTCTGCTGACTGCAACCTCCATCTCCTAGGATCAAGCGATTCTCCTGCCTCAGCCTCTGGGACTACAGGCGTGCACCACCATGCCCAGCTAACTTTTTGTATTTTTGGTAGATAGGGGGTTTCACTGTGTTAGCCAGGATGGTCTCAAACTTCTGACCTCATGATCTACCTGCCTCGACCTCCCAAAGTGCTGAGATGACAGGCTTGAGCCACCACACCTGGTCTATCTTCTTTTTTATATCCTTCTTATTTTGCCTCAGTTTCCTTGCTTAAATTTGATCTTTTTCAGCTGGGCTTAGTGGCTCACGCCTGTAATCCCAGCACTTTGGGAGGCTGAGGCGGGCAATTGCCTGAGGTCAGGAGTTTGAGATCAGCCTGGGCAACATGGTGAAATCCCGTCTCTACTAAAATACAAAAAATTAGCCAGGCATGGCGTGTGCCTGTAGTCCTAGCTACTTGGGAGGCTTTGGCAGGAGAATTGCTTGAACCCAAGGGGTGGGGGTTGCAGTTAGCCAAGATTACACCACTGCACTCCAGCCTGGGTGACAGAGCAAGGCTGTCTCAAAAAAAAAAAAAAAAAAAAAACAGCGCAGGCGTGGTGGCTCATGCCTATAATCCCATCACTTTTGGGAGGCTGAGGCAGGCGGATCACGAGGTCAAGAGGTCAAGACCATTCTAGCCAACAAGGTGAAACTCTGTCTCTACTAAAAATATAAAAATTAGCTGGGCATGGTGGCACACACTTGTAGTCTCAGCTACTCAGGAGGCTGAAGCAGGAGAATTGCTTGAACCCGGGAAGCAGAGGTTGGAGTGAGCCAAGATTACGCCGCTGCACTCCAGCCTGGTGACAGAGTGAGACTCTGTCTCAAAAAAAAAAAGCACAGGGCAGGCTATTTTGGAGATGCCCTCCAAGAACACTGGTGTGTGAGGCAAATGGGAAACTTAAGTGAGGTGATGAGGTGCTCCTTCTTGCTGTGGTGGTGCTGCTGCTGCTGCCACCACTCACTCCTCCTCCCTACTCGTGGGCAGTGCAGGGTGTGTGTGTGTGACAGCAGGCCACATCCCAGAGCCCATCCCACTCATGTCTCTGTTTCCTTGCAGGCCCTTTGGACAGGCACTTCGGCCCCTCCTGGACTCCATTCAGATCCAGCCTCCAGGAGGGAGCTCCGTGGGCAGACCCAATGGCCAGAGCTAACAGGACTTCCTGGGACCGCCCTGCCTCACCAGGGCTTTTCCTTTTTAAACAAAACAAACCCTACCAGATTTCTATTTTATAATTTTACATCAGAGCTAACAACCAAGGGACGGCTTTTTAAATTTCCCAGGGAAGGAGACTGTCAGGCCGCATGTAGATAATGCTGCTAAAAAACAGAACAAAATGCCACCCCTTCTAATGGTATTATACTAATTTATTAAGGCCGTCTTGTCTCTGAGTTCACTTGTGACGCTGTTTCCTAAGCGTCCTCCACACTGGAGAAAGGGAGGGGCTTTGTTTAAACAGAAAGCAAGAGGCACGGTTTGGGGGAGCCCCAACCTAGAACTCTTCCCAGAGAACACTCACGCTCTACCCAAGTCACCACCACTTGTGGGGCCCAGGTGAGTTTTAGAACATCCATGGCCTGGAAACAATTACTCTAGCGTTAAATGAACCAAAGGATTTGGTGCACGTGGGACCAGTTTCAGGATGACTAACCCAACCTAAGTGAACTCTTTAGCCACGACCCTCTTCACCTTCCCTCCCTTACCCCAAGCAAAGCCAGTGCTGGAGCAGCCGCTGCCTCAGGATCAAGGAAGTAACAGCAAGTATCAGACCGGAGAAAACAGGATAAAGCCATTCCTCCTTCCACCTAGATGGATTGCCAATCCTCTGCCATCAGTTTTGGGAAACCTGCCTCAGTGCCCCTGAGGCTGCTGTTCCTCAGCATAGCTGATGTGTCATAGTTGATGAGGTCTGGGCTGAAGCAGCAGAGGCCCAGGCCTTTTTTCTGTAGTAATGATGTAGGTTATTTGCAGTCTCTGCAACTACCACCCAGACCAGTATGCAGAATTCAGCTGGGGACCAGGAGATAGGATTCCCTGCTCTAGGAAAATACCGTTTTTTTCCTGAGACTGAGTCTTGCTCTGTCACCCAGGCTGGAGTGCAGTGGCACAATCTCGGCTCACTGTAACCTCCCAAGTAGCTGGGACTATAGGCACATGTTACCATGCCCAGCTATTTTTTTAAGTTTTAATAGAGAAGGGGTTTCACCATGTTGGTCAGGCTGGTCTCTAACTCCTGACCTCAGGTGATCCACCCACCTCACCCTCCCAAAGTGCTGCGATTATAGGCATGAGCACTGTGCCCGGCTGGAAAATACCTTTGATGTAGAAAGAATAATGATGTGAGGCCAGGCACGGTGGCTAAAGCCTGTAATCCTAGCACTTTGGGAGGCCAAGACAGGCAGATCACTTGAGGTCAGGAGTTCAAGACCAGCCTGGCCAACATGGTGAAACCCTGTCTCTACTGAAAATACAAAACTTAGCAGGGCACAGTGGCACATGCCTATAATCCCAGCTACTCAGGAGGCTGAGGCAGGAGAATCACTTGAACCTGGCAGGCGGAGGTTGTGGTGAGTTGAGATTGTACCAGTGCACTCCAGCCTGGGTGACAGAGCGAGACTCCATCTCAAAAAAAAAAAAAGAATGATGTAGAATCAAGGTGGCAAGAAAATTTAGATTCATTTCTGATAGGGACTTTCCCTTATCCTAAATGTGTTTTGAAGGCACACCTTATTTCCGTTGTCATTCTGATTTTGGGGAAGCAGGTTGGGGCGTAACTGGGCATTTTCCTAATGACTTGCTGCTAGGAGTTGATAGGCAGGGAACAGTCTGAGAGTCTCTAATCCAGAGAGACTTTCAACTTGCAGATTCCTTCTCTTCATGTAGACCTCCTTTAGTTAGATTTTGAGAAGGTGCATGTGAAGAAGGGACTCAGAGCTGCCAGGTGCCCGAGTCTCAGCTCTGACATCCTTGGGTCCCTTCTGCCACAACTTCCTGCCACTTTGTGGACTTGAATTATGTTGCGTCTTCCTGGAAGTCTGGCCTGCAGCAGGGGGCCTTTCCTCTCCAAAAAGCTGCTGCTCACTTTTGGCCCCATCTGCTGCTGTCTTTGCCACTAGCCATAGCAGTTGCCATCATCAGAGTCTCAGCTAAAGATGTCATTCTGCCTTAGTGTTTGCCTGCGACCTGACCGGGGTATGTCTAGTTGGGATGTCAAGTGACATTTGAAAACTTGAAGATTAGAGGCCAAATGAATGAACAGTTTAATTCTTCTCAAGACCCACTGATTTGCCAGTGTCCATGGAAATCACAAATTAGAGCAGAAACTAGCAGGGATTATTATATAATGGTGATCTACTGGCAGACATGGGCCCAAGGAGAAAGAATTTGAGAGGCTGGGTTTCTTCTGGGAGGGCAGCAAGTTGGTCTAGGCCAGGGCTTTGTTTCCCACCAGTGTTGTTCCCTTTTCCAACTTGCCTGGCCCAGCTCTGTCTTTCAGGCTCCTGCTCCAGACCTCTCTGCCTGGGGTCTCCCCTCCATCCAGGGGGTTCTGGGCACCACAGCTCCTTTTTTTAATTTCTTCTCTCCCAGATCCAGTTTCAGCTGGTTTGTTTCTCCCAGCAGGCACCCTGAGGCCCAGGGGCAGCTCCCCTGAGAGAATTTTAGTCATTCATTTTCTTGAACAGCGCACCGCTTTATACTAGCAGCCATTTGTGCCATTGCCTGTGCCCTAGGGTTTGTGGGGAGAGATCAAGGGATCAGTGAGCAGTTTTCCCAGAGCTCCATGGGAAGGCAAGCTCTCCCTCCCCTGACGGGAGGCCCACTGTCACCAAATGTGGAAACCCAGGCTCGGGCTTCAACTGCCCACCCCCATCCTCACATTTCTGTCTGTCCCAGTATCTCAGGAGCATTCTCATTGTGGCCGGCTAACTCCACCTGGATGTGAACAGGCAAGCAGAGTGGGAAATGAGTCACGTACTTATATTGCACACTGGACACCTCCCTAGAGGTCCATTGGTTTAAAGGGATAGGGAAGGGGGAGGGATGAGACCATCACCCCCGCCCAGAAATAAATCTGGTATCTGAGTTTTCTTTATGCCCTCGAGTACTAATAACTGTGTCTAGTATGGAGGTGTTTGCTGGTTTTCTTTTGGTGTTTTTTCTAATGCAATAAACTCATTTCTGCCTGCTGCATTTGTATGGTCCCTGAATCAGGTCTGGATGTGTGTCCAATATGAAGCAACCCCAGCCTTCTGCGTGTCCCTCAGAGCTTAACTTTGTGGGGTCTGGATGTGTGTCCTGTGCATGGTTGTGAGCCTGTGGATAAAAAGTGATTATAACAGGGAAGGATGTCTGAATTTTACCATTGGTTTATAAAGATGGGGAAAGGGCCCAGAGAGAATATCACTTGCCCAAGGTCACCTTGCAGCTGGTGCAGTCCAAAGCCTTGTCTGGTAACTTCAAATTCTGAAGCCTTCCTCTAGCCATCAGGAATGTCTGACCTCACTGAAAAGTGTTCATTTCTAGTTTCAACTTGGCTCTAGGCTGGGTCTGTGGCTCCTCATGCCCAAACAGGCTGTAGCTGAGAAGGCAGGCAAGGAGCCTAGCAGGGGCCTGACATACCCCTAATTGTGAGCCCTTGACCACAGAGCCCAGCTGCTCTGGAAGGAGGCAGAGAGTCTTGGACGAGGTTGCCCCACTGGCTCCCGGGATGGAGAGCCAGGCAAGGTCATGCTGCAGTGAGAGTGATGGATGCCAGGTAGCGCTATGGCCCCACACACCAGGCCCAGCCCACTGCTCAACACCCAATGCCATGCTGGTCTTTGGTACCCCTGGCCACCTCAGTAAGTTTGTCCAGCTCCCCACACATCTCAGCCCCTGCACAGCCAAGCTCCTTGTCATTTATCAAGGCCCTTCTCAATCTTGTTCTTGAAAACCCTGGACCTACCCCACACCCTGGTGCCAATGCCAGTCCCAGTCCATAATCACTTCTGGTGGTTTCACACCTCCAGGCCTTGGTTCACTCTTTTCTCCACCGGAATCCCCTTTCCCCACCCCTTGCTCAGTGCTGAAGGCTCAGCTAGCATGCCCTCTGACCCGTCCACCACCACAGCTGACTCCTTGCTCCCATGTGTGCCTCTGGTGCACTCCCACCAGCCCAGTACCTCTCAGGGCAGGGCCTGGCATGGGGTGAGCCTCAGACTCTGAGAAAGTAACCAAGGCCTTCCCCTCTCTGGGCCTCAGTTTCTTCATCTGGAGAATGGAAATTATGGGTTGGATCCTCTCTAAGTTCCTCCCAGTGTGACTCTGCTCCCCACCCCTGGCTTGCGAGGTCAGGAGAGAGACTTGCTCAAGTTCTCACAGCCCTGGGCTGAACTCTGACCTGCAGAGACCACTGACCCCACCTGTCAGGCTGCCACCCCTGTCCCCCACCCCCAGGTGGAACAGTCCTGTGGCCTGGGCCATATCTGTCCCCATTGACTTTGGCTGAGAGAGCCCCAGAGGGCCTGAGCCAACCCATCAACAGCTTCCACCTCCTACAAAGCCATCTGAGCATGTGTCCTTCAGCTCATTTAGATTCATTAGACATGTTTATTGTGAAAACAATATAAGCACTGCAGGCATTTTGAAAGTTTTAAAACCAGGCCAGACGCAGTGGCTCACACCTGTAATGCCTGCAGTTTTGGAGGCTGAGGCTGGCAGTTACCTGAGATCAGGAGTTTGAGACCAGCCTGACCAATATGGAGAAACCCTGTGTCTAATAAGAAAAACACAAAATCAGCCAGGTGTGGTGACACATGACTGTAATCCCAGCTACTCAGGAGGCTGAGGAAAGAGAATCACTTGAACTCAGAAGGCAAAGGTTGCGGTGAACTGAGATTGCACCATTGCACTCCAGCCTGGGCAACAAGAGTGAAACTCCGTCTCAAAAAAAAAAAAAATTCCAACATCCAGTCTCCACCAGCCTCAGCACACAGCACACCTCCCCTGCTGCCCCTAGGCTTCTTAACTACACAACCTTTAGGAGGGTGTTGACCCATTTGTAGATGAACAACCTCAGAGAGTGGGAGGGACCTGCCCAAGGTCACTAGTGTGAGGAGAGCTCCAAGAACTGTCAGCCTGACTGTAAACCCCACTACACAGAGGCTGCCCCTTGGGCCTGGACCGCCCATACACAACAAGTCACATACCAGGTAGAAAAATAGTATTGACAGCCCCAATGCTTATTGGACATGTTGACACATGGCCTCCTACCAGTAGCCAGGAGCCAGGGAAGAGCCTGGGCTTTGGCAAAACAGGACTGAGGAGGAATCTTGCCTGTGATGTATGACCCTAGGAAAGCCACTTTACCTCTCTGATGTCACAGCCTACCTCTGGAAATTGAGCATAAGGGTACTCTTTTTAGAGATGTATTGGGAAAAGTAAGTGAAACACCCAAACCAAACATGAAAGTCACTAACCGCCAAGCTTCAGCCACATGTCTGGCCCACAAGCACCCAGGGTCTTCCCTTCATAGCAGTATCCTGCCAGGTTCAGCTCTTAGTCCACCGCATTCAGTCCTGGCTTCCTCTGGGTCCCTCTAAGTCGCCCTTCTGGCCAGTCTTCCCTCTCCCCAGTACTGCTCTTCTCCCCAGGGCCTCCCCTGGTCCCTATCTGAGCACCAGTTGCCAGGGATGAGCCTTCCTCTTAAAGGGACATAATGGTGGCCATTATGTCCCTTTAAGAGGACCCTTTAAGAGGACCCTACCT